CAGTGATACCAACCACAGGGAAATTTCCCTAGATTTGGGGAAATTGAGTACTGTTCAGGGAAAAAGGGAAATTTTAATGAAAAACCAAGATATCTAGGGAAATTTTTGGATTATCATGTTTGATACTTGGATAGTTAGATAAAAACCACGGACTAAGACAATATATATATCTTAGTCCGTGATAAAAACTAAAAGAACATTTCTATAAAAAATCGTGTGATACATGATGTGATACTGTGATTAGTAAAATGTTCCCTTATCAGTTATCACAGTACCATTATCACGGTTACAAAGTTTAATACCATTTCTATGGTTAAATTAATACGTTATAAGTAACCGCCAAATCAAATTTAAATATTAAATCACATATAACATTATAATAATGAATAATATTAGTATAACATTATTATAATACTATTATAATATTAACATTATAAAATGCTGTCTGGGTTATTATGTTAAGAATATTGTATTTAAATAATTATTCAATTATTAATCTATAGCAATAATAACCTAAGAGGAAAATTGTAAATCTGTTACTGGTACAATGCAGTAACTAGTAAGCACACTAAATGATGCTTTACTATTTAATTTTATTGTTAATGTTCTTGTATTCTAAAGCTTTTGGAATACATTGTAGTCACAATATTATTCCCATTACATGAATATAATTTTATACTAAATTTCAATTTTTATATATATCATAATACCTATAATTTATATGAAAGAAATATATTTATTTCATTTTTCCTATTTTTACCTAAAATTGTTATGTACTGTATTGTCTGGATTGACATACACACAGCATTTATCTATACATGTAAAACCCTTTACAACTGTTATCTGTATTACTTTTTATTTCCTGTGGAAACTTTCATACCTATTAATGTAGCATTTTCTATATGAACACTTAGTTGCTTGTCTGAATATTGATACTGGTCTTTAAATATTTTAGCACATTTTAGCACATTTTATAATTTATATTTTAAACACCAGTATGTCTACTTCACCAACTAAACAACAAATAAAAAAACCCTATTACCGACAAAAGTATAATGCTTCCTGGGAAAATGACGAACAATTTAAAGGATGGTTAGCAAGAAGTAAAAAAGGTATGAATCTTATTTAATTTACTTTTTCATTTTTGTTTGAATATTTCTGAAAACAATAATTAATTGTTTGTTTAATAGGTCAGTACTTTTTCCATTGTACATCATGTCAATTTGATGGAACTGCGGGTAAATCCGAAATTGAAAAACACGCCAAGGGACAAAAACACTTAAAACTGGTGGAAGGATGTAAAAGTCAACAAACCATAACTGAACTTCTAAACAATTCTGTTCATGCAAAACTTGAAAATACTGTAAATATAATAATTTTATTATTAATGTAATGTAATAATAATAATTAATATTACTTTCAGGTTAAACATAGTGAAATGCATTTGGCAGCATTTATTGCTGAACATAATTTGCCTTATACAGTTATGGAACACTTACCCAAATTGGTTCAAAAAGTATGTCCTGATTCAAAAGTAGCTTTGAAGTTAAAATGCGGCAGAACAAAAACTGAAAGCATCGTTACCAATGTCATCGGAGCAGTAGGTAAGATCAGTGTTATTGATTTGATGCAGAAAAACAAGTTTGCCATTATAATAGACGAAAGCACGGATACATCTACAATAAAACACATGGCAGTAATCGCTAGAATAGTAGACAATAATCTGTTGGTGCGGGATGAATTTGTTACTCTCATAGAAGTAGAAAAAGCCACTGCTGACGCTTTATATGATTTAATTATACATTTCTTTATACAAAATAAAATTCCATATAAAGAGAATATGATAGGCTATGCAGGAGATGGTGCCAACAATATGATGGGCAAACACCATTCATTAGCTACTAATTTATTGAAAGATGTGCCAGATTTATTTATTATGAAATGTATATGCCATTCTTTTCATCTATGCGCTTCATATGCTTGCTTAAAATTACCACGATTTGTTGAAGATTTTGCAAGAAATGTACATAACTATTTAAATAATAGCTCTAAAAGACTCTTAGAATTTAAAGAATTCCAAGTTTTCTGTAATATAAAACCACATAAGATTTTATACCCAGGACAAACGAGATGGCTATCACTATTGTCGGTAGTTAATCGCCTTATTGAACAATATAATGCTTTAAAACTCTATTTTACTAGTGCAGTGTTAGAAGATAAAATTTTAAATGCACAAACAGTATTAGATTCGTTATCAAATCCATTTAATCTTTTGTACCTGCAATTCCTAGCATATGTTTTGCCATTCTTTGTAGATCTAAATATTGAAATGCAATCAGAAGGAATAAAAATACATCTGGTCTATGACCGTATAGGAACACTGTACAAAGAAATCTTAGAATGCTACATTAAAAAAGATTATATTAGAAATAAAAAATTATATGAAATTCAATACAAGAATCCAAGTTACTATTTGCATGAAAATAATTTGTTTTGTGGTGGTACTGTTTCTGCATCTATTTGCTCTCTGTTAAAAGAGAAAAAAGTCACAGCTTTGCAAATATCGGAGTTCAAAAATCGCTGCCTCAGCTTTTATGTAGAAGCAACACAACAAATTAATGTTCGATTCCCATTTCAAAATATGGAAATGTTAAAACATTTAAAAATCCTAGAACCAAAAATTATTTTTAATTCTGAAATTTGTTCACTTGGTCCACTGGCATCACACCTTCCAATACTTACCAAAAACGTCAACTTGGATGATCTCGATCGGGAATGGAGGAAACTATCCAACATGGAAGGCGTTGAAGACTTGACTGCAGATATGGATGTTTTAACATTTTGGATAAAAGTGATTAATATTACAAAAGGGGATAATACTAAAATGTTTCCATTGTTAAAAGTCGTAATCAAAAACATAATGACTCTTCCTCATTCGAGTGCATGTGTTGAACGAATATTTTCATGTGTTAATCTTATTAAAACAAAATACCGTAACCGATTAAACACACACAATTTAATAGGATTATTACACACAAAACGTGTGATAAAAGACTCAAACTGTTTTTCATACGATTTTGATAATAAATTTATGGATTTGTTTAACCAACAAATGTATGAATTTAAAAAAATGTGATTTGTTAATAACTGTTATGACGCTATATGACATAAGTAATGTTTATTATTACTTGAATATTTTTATATTTGATTTTTATATATTTGTAATTTGAAAATTATGAGATTTATGTTTAGTTTTAGATGATTTATACTTCATAATAAAAGTTTCTTATAATGTATTATGTAACCATTGGAAGTTGGAACTGTTGTTATTTATGCTAATGAGTTTTACATTTTAAATTGTGGTTGGGGGGGGGGTGGGGGGCAAAGCCCCCCACAATAATCTGCTATCACAAGATTACAGGGAAATAATAGGGAAATATTGATATAAAATCTAGGGCATTTATGAAAAATCAGTTGGTAACCCTGGCGCCGATTATTATAGTATGAACGTTCGTCTAAGACGTTTCGCGTCATGATAAAATTAATACGCGCAATGCTGCCGTTATATTTTAAATATCCAAGCGTACCCATAAACTAACGATTATAATTTAAGTCACTGCTTACCTAAATATATTTACCAATATATATATCGTATAAACTGTATTATAACATAGCTTGATTTGTATTTATAACATAAATACTTATTAAAATATTATATTTATAGTCAAAATTACGAACATTTGCAAATCATTTTGATGTCAGAAATGCACATTCTTTTTTTTTTTACATCTAAGAATAAAAAATTAAATACAAGATTTCTGATATGTTTCTACCATAATATTATAACAATCATGAATATTGCAGAATTACTTACTAATAAGTATTACTTACCTAACAACTAACCTACCGCTAAACAATAGGTAGTACCCAGTAGGTACCTACTTATTTCACTTATAATAAACGGAAAACTATTAAATTAGATTTCAATTTAAGAATTAGAATTTACGTATAGGTGTTAAAAAAATTAGTAGATACACAAAATATTTTTATTTTTTTTTATTTTTACTTTTTTTTATTTCAAGAAGCATTTTTTTTTCTGTAAATTCTTTTATGTTTTTTTGTATGTATGGGGGGTCAATAATGTCACTTTTTAACATGCGTTTGCTATATTGAGAGTCAACAATTTCTCTCAATAAACATTCTTCATAAAATCTGAAAAATAGAATGTTTAAAAACAAAAAATTAATAAAAATAAGAAATAATATTATTTGTCAGTTCTGAAATGTAGGTATTTAGTTCCAATACAGGTATGTAGTACTGCGGTAGTTACAGTAATAATAAAATTATAGTATCAATTAATATTTTAACATCATTATAATTTACCAAAATACATACAAATTGTTAATTGTTTATTTTAGATTCTGAGTAGATTATATTATACTATATTATATTAAATTTATATTATACATAATAAATATTCGAAATAATGCTTCGAAAAATAAACACACACATTGTAAAATCAATACATTCATCCCTCGGCACTAAAAATATGTAATAGAAATTTGTGATTTTAAAAATACTTACAATGTTAATTTAGGCAACATTTTTTTTTTCCAAAATGTTTCGGAATATTCTATAACTTCTAACTTTGTCCAATTAGGAGTAAATATAAAAAAATAGGATAAATGACGTTTTGTAATACGCATTTGTCCCTGTATCTGATAATAATAGTTACTGTCTTTTTTTAACGTTATAATATTTTTTTTTTTTCCAAATAAGGAATCTAAAATGAAATAAGTTAGGTTTTTTATATTTGGATTAGAATTTTGAATATACATACTTAGGTCTTATAAAAACCTATTTAATACTTACCTGTTTTTCAGCTTCTTCCAAACTTGTATAATCTTTTACTGAGTAGGGACATTTTATTTCGACAATAGCATCATCATCGATTAAACCATCTAAAAATTGGGTAATAAAAATATTTTAAACGTGTCTAAATAGAAGTACAACATTAATTTTAGTTGTATTATATATTAATAAATTACCTGGTGTTGCTGCTAAATATGGTACATCATCATCAATGAATAAGCCACATTTTTTAATTGGTTTTTTAATTATATTTTCCAATGTTGTAATTGCTAAGCCTTCAGATTTATTACCATATTCCATAGCTCTAGTTTTCGTATTACCATACAAAATATCAAAAACATTATTTTTGCATGATGTATTTGGCCGCATCTTACAAATTCTTCCAAAATTACTTGCTGTAAGGCGATTTCTCCTTTCATTGAGCCAAGTTTGACTGTCAGCTTGATTTCTGGTCTCAAATTCTAAGTTTTGTTTTGCTAGTTCTGAAATTGTAAGGGACTGTATAAATTCATTTTTCTTTTTTTTTAACTGTTCATCAGATATAAAGTCGTCCAAGGGTTGAGCTAATCCGCAGTGTTCATCTGGTCCATTTGAGTTTGGTTTGGTTTTTTTCAATCCAGATAATCTGAAAAGTGCTCGGCGACTTCTCAATATATTCCTTTTATCGGATGTATACTTTAAAAATTTTTTTGCAATAATTCCTATTAAAAATAAAAAAAGTTGATATATTCAAATTATTAACATACTGAGGATATCTTATTATTATAAAAATAAATTTAAGTACCTGGACTTCTATTGGTAATCTTTTTGTGTATCTCCCGTAAATAATTACCACCCGTATTAAACGAAACTACTGCAGTGTATACTCTACTATTGTATGACTGTTTTTGCGTAAAGTTAACTCTTTTTCCACCTATGTGTTTGTTTATTATGCTATTGAACTGCTCGCAAATATTATTGTCGACATCGTATATTAAACTTTTTGAGTTATTAACAACCCGACGAAGAGCAACTAATACATCATCCATCAAGCCACATTTAATCACTTCTTGTACGAGATTTGTTTCATTAGTAAGTTTTTTAGTACAAAAATACTGATCACAGTCTGAATGCTGACCAAATATGTGGTAAGGGCTATTTAAAATGTCTTTTCGTAAACCTGAAGTAAATATAATAAATAAAAATATTTAATAATTGTATTTTACATTTATCGAACGTTTTTTAAACTATTATAATACCTTCAATATTTTGATAAGTTGATTGATTAATATTTTTCCTATATTTAATTGCTCTTGTTATGGCCGTTCTGAATCTAAGAATATTTCTTGTTATATATTTTCTTAAATAACACGGGTATTCGGTTTTTTTAGTAAAACTCTGTAATTTTTGACAATAGTTTCGAATGATATGATTCCGGCACTCAATCTTTTCCACTAGTAGCTTTGGACCGTATGGCATTATTTCATTCAATTTTTTTGTGACGCTACTGTCACCATCTCCTGATGATTAAACATTTAAAATATTTCATTTTGCTCGTTTAAAAATTAGGAAATATTCGTTGAAATATTATGTTGAATTTTTACCGATTAACTTATTGAATTTTAAGCCATGCATTTCAATGCTATTTGAAAACCCTTCAGCGATAGCGGACGATTCTATACTTGTCGCACCCTTTGTACAATTTAAAAAACACGTATGTGGCCTTACAGATGTTTTTAACATTTTAGCTCTTTCACATACAACACAGTATCGGTTTCGTATTCCAATTTATAATATTTTCTTCGAACCAAATCCAATAATTGCAGCCTAAACATTTATATTTGAAATTATTTTAGATTCTAAACGGGGCGAATGTTGATTTTACAATGATTTTCGTGTGATTTTTTTTCAGTAATTTTTACACAAAACCAGTTTTTGAGAAAATCGATTTGGTTGAAAACATATAACCGTAGATACTAGATACTACAAATTTATGTTTTATACACACAATATGATATTTTTAAACTCATTTTTTGTTTTTCTTTAATTTTATGTTGGTTTTTTCAATCAAAATTTGTTAAAGAAAAAACTAAAAAAGGGTGGTCAAGTGGGTGTCGCTCTGCTGTACAGTATGTTACAAGTGAGTCACTGTAATGGATTGTGTTAAATTTGAATACAATTTATATAAAATATCACTGCAGTATAAGAAAAACGATTCTAAGCGAAGACGGTCAGTCAGCCTATACCTATATGATATGACTAAGTATATATTTTGATAATATTATTGTGCATAAAGTAATTTATATATTATATCCCATTTACATGGAACTTTGTTTTAAATTTTCTATCCTTAGGTATAAAAGTTGAACATTTTATACATTTTTAACTACAAAATAATATTAAATTTTAAATTTGATAAATTTTGTCAAACTATGAACTTTAAATGCTCATAAAAAGACATTGTCCCCATGTACTTTCAATATTTTTCAACTACTATAGTAACAATATATCAGAAACCTTGAATTAAATTTTCACGGTTTTTTATTAAACAAATAAAATTGTATAGATATCTATAGAAAAAAAACCTAATAAAACAGGGAACTGAAAATGCCCGTAAGCAGCTCAAGATAAATCAAAATATTTTTAAAATGTTATGGTGTATAGAAAATGCTAATATAAACATTCAGACAAAATTGTATTTATCTATGGTCATTACTTTTGGAGTTACACCACAAACCAAATTAGATTTTCTCAAAAATCGATTTTGCGTAAAAATTCCAGTTTTTCCTTAATTTTTCTTTTGTTTTTCACGGCGCTTTTGAAAACTACTGGGAAATTTTTAATTTTGACCCCTCAAAGTACCATCTAGATTCACTTTCCTATCGGAAAAGATATAATTAAAGAAAATCGAAGCATTTTTACTGTCCTAAAAGGTGATGACAGACACAAAAAAATTAAATAAAAAAAAAATAAAAAATAAAAAAACACATCATTGTAAAATAAATACATTCATCGCTTTGCCCAGAATCTAATATTTCAAATAGCTATAAATAGCAACAAAAACATTTCTCTAGATTTTTTGAAATTTATATATTAATCGTTTGAGGACAAAACGTTAATTTACACTTGCATATTTCGAATAATATTTTAGAATAACAACAAAATTACAAATATTAATTTATATGTTCATTATTTACCGCTCCAGAAAATGCGTCGTATTTCGTCTTGTAACTCCGCTTGCTCCACTGACCATCAGCAATAACTGGGCACATAGGTGTACCATCGGAATCGATATCACCAGCCTCCAATGCTAAACGTTTTTCTTCTAGACCAGCCTTTTTCATAACGTCCCAAGCAGTCTCTTTCACTTCATCGCTCACAATTTCAGCTATTTTCATATATGTTGTATGTGTCATACATGGGACATCTATACTTGCTGAAAATTCGGCCACTTGAGTGTGTCCTATTCCTATCGCATACGTACCACTGACAACTGCTTTATTAATTGGTATACACCCCAGGTATTCTTTTTCCGATTCAATTTTAGTCAACATATTACACATTTTACATTTAAACATCCACGAGGAAAAATACCCTGAACGAACTTCTTTTACAAATACACAATCAATAAAAGTGCAACCCAATCCAATGCCATGATTACCATTTCTAATTTGGTCAAAAATATGCATTGCATCAACTATTCTTCGACCTCCAACACTAAAAATAAAAAAATACTTTTTACTTTTTTTACGTATTTAATGGTCAAGTCTTTCATTTTTTACTAACTTGTTTTCTTCAATTGCATGGGAGGACTGAAGTATTCTTTCGCTCTCAATAAAATCAATATTTCTTTCAACAACAACATTTAAATCAGGCAAAATAGGGTTTGAGCTACAAATAATTACAATTCAATTTTTTAATTTTAATCAATAACATAGATTTTTAAAATAATAAGACTTACTTTACTGAAGTTGAACATTCATGAGTATTTGAGTTACTCAAAATATATCCTGAGTTATTCCAAACATCATTTGGTGGAACATTTATTTCAACACTCACATCAGGTAAAATAGGGTTTGAACTACAATTATTATAGTTTAATTTTTAAATTTTAATCAATAACAAAGGTTTTAAAAATAATAAGACTTACTTTACTGAAGTTGAATTATCTGGAGTACTTGAGTTACTCAAAACACATCCTGAGTCATTCCAAACATCATTTTGTGGAACATTTATTTCAACACTCAAATTAGGCAAAATAGAGTTTGAGCTATAATTATAATGCAATGGGTCAGTAGGTCACTAACTATGATGGATGTGTTAAATTTGAATTCAATGATAAATCAATGCATACGAAGTAAATAACTGAACGGAAATTATGTCAGCCTAGGATATTTTATTTATTTATTTTATATCTTAAATATTTTGATAGAAAATATATCGTTATTTTACGCGTGCATTTTTGATTTTGTAAAAATTACAACTTTAGAGTTTAGACACTCATAAAAATTTTTTTTTTTACTGACGCCCGATTTTATTTGTAATTATTGTAAGCAAAACTTATGGAAAACCTTGTATTCAATTTTCAATTCCTAGCTACGAATACAAACAATTTTATACATTTTAAACTACAAAATAGTTTGCAAATATTCGTGATTTTGACGAATTTTGTCTATATTTGAACTTCGAACGCTTAAAAAAAGAAATTGTGCCTATGTATTTTAATAATTTTTGATTCACTCAAATATCAACTTATGTAAAACCTTTTAATAAATGCTTAGGTATTTTGTTTCCGCCAAAAAAATTTTATCGGCATTTACAAAAAAACAAAAAAAAATTGAATATTTCAAATGCCCATAGCTGAACAATTAACGAAATATTTTGAAAAAAAAAATCCTGTGAAGAAAATATCACCTTAAACAACTGGTGTAAGTTTCAAATTTCTACGGCTTATACTTTTTGAATAAAAATAAATATCAAAACCCGTTTGAGGCTAAATCATTGTGTTACGTGATTTCGTAAAAGTTTAAATTTCAAACGCTCATAAAATTGTCCTAATTTTTTTTAGTTTTTTACGGCACACTTGAAATTTAATGACAATTTTTTACTTTTGACCCCTTTTTTACTGCCCCAAAATGTGATGACCAGGGCTCGTAAGTTCATGCATCCGCATGTTTTTTCTGCTACACCGAAAAACATGCTAACTGAGATACAAATCCGTTTCATAACAGTAGTAATAATAATATAAAGTTTAATAGTGCATGTTTTTGCATGTTTTGAGTGTTAGGGCATATTTGGCATATAGTCGATTTTTTAGAGTTGATAGCGCATATTATTGCATAAAAAAATTTTTTAGACAAATATCTGAAAAGTTTCTTGTTTTTTATTTACTTTTCCGTTTACAAAATGAGAGTATTTTTAATTATTTTTATTATCCTGTGACTACCTATAGTATCCTAGCTATCCATATTATGAACTTCACAAGTATTCATTTTTTTTTTATTTTACTAATTTTGGTTAATAAATGTATACAAATTAAAATTAATAAAACACTTTTGAATTAATGGATATATTCTTATTATTTTAAAATTTGCCCATGGTTGTTTTACATAATGCATATTTTTAGTGCATAATTTAAAAATGTTAGGGCTTATAAATGCAAATTTTCAAACTTTTTAGTGCATATTTTAATGCATATTTTGCTAATTTTGAGGGCATGAATGCATGCTTATTTATACATTTTTTAGTGCATGAACTTACGAGCCCTGGTGATGACAGACACACACAAAAAAAACAATACATATTACTGTAAAATCAATACATTCATCACTCCGTTCAGAATCTAAAATATAATTTTATAATTATGTATATATTATATTAGAATAATATAATAAAGTTTGAGTTCAATAATATAAACTGAGTTACGGCATTATAATAGTTAACTATTTTATACATTCTATATAAAAAAATTGTAAGAATTTTGTAAAAACTTACCTTTTGTTTTTATTATATCGTTTTAATATAAGTTTACGACTTATATATTTTCTTGGTGGGCGTTTAATTTTATTCGTTTTATTTGCCATATTATTTTTAAATTATTATAAAAAAAAACAAGTGAAAATAAAATAATATAGCCCTGTAGGTTTGATTATTTGGTGTATTATTAATTATAGCACTGTCGTCTGTCTAAGTACTCAAGTCAGAATGACAGATGACTACTACAGTCTACAATAATATAATAATATTCTTAATTTCTAGTAGGGTTTAGACATAATAAATACTGGACGAATAATAATAATACTAATATAGTAATATTAAATATTATTGTAATAATAATAAGTTTTGATGTAATTATTACAATTCTTAGAATTGCCGATAACATCGACGACGGTCGGCACGCGCTACCTCCCTCCCTTCACGACGGTCAATTGAAAATTATATTTATATAATACACCGCTTGAAGCAGCACAATACGGCGTGATAAATTTAAAAGTACGACTAAAACATAACTACGGAAAATTGCAATTGCTCACTTTACAGTAGTTTTAGAGAAAAAACACCTATAATAAAATCGAAAGAAAACAATATTTTGGAGAAAACATCATATGCGTTTTTTAATATTGCTAGTATATAACGTACAAATTCAAATACAAAATATACATATTTTACGTTTTTTAATTAGCTGTATCTTTTTTACTAATTACTTTTTTATAAAACGGATATGACATTTTCTTGGAAATATTGTTCTCTATAAATTTTATCATAGGTATTTTAACTCTAAAACCACTTTTTAGTGCAGTTATGATTGTTTTGCGTAGACATCTTTTTACCATTGAAAATAAGCGGTATCACGTCCTCTTAAGCTGTCGTTACCCGTGTGAATCCGTGTATTTTTACTTATTAATTTATGATAAATATTTCGCTGTAATTCAAATCTTTTAACTACGCAATTAGTTGGTGCCATTTCCGGTTTTCTAAATAGTTGTATTTCGCATGGTTGATATTCATTGTTTTCCCGCATAGGTTGTTGTGATTTACATATCCTATATATTTCTGTCTCTATACATTCACTTAATTGTTTTTCCGTGTATAATGTAAATCTTTTCCTATCTTTTGTAAATGCTACATAGGGTTGTGATATTTCTGTAAAATACTATGAAATTATGTTGTTCTTAATGTGATACATTGGTAAAGATAGTATACTGTATAATGAGAGTTCAGTATCTAGAACTAACGGAATTTTTGTAAAGAAGACTAACCTGTCATTTTCGTAATATACGCTTATTTTAGTAACCTTATGAAATTCGCCAAGTTCTGATGCTTGTGTTCCTAATGGTATATTATACTGTTTCTTTATAGTTTGTTCTACTGATTTTAATGTTGACGCTAATTCTTGTGGTGTCATGAGACTTGAGTGTATTATTCCCTCTCGTGTGGCTGTTATTATTTGTCCTCACGTTGTAGTTTCATATGCGTATTGATTAGTAATTATTGTGTATAAAGTGTGTACCTCATCGGCCATTAATAAGTCTAACACGTCATCAGTTTTATTTTGTATTTGTTGCATTCTATCATGTAGTTTTTTTCTTTGAGTGTTATTTCGTTATATAATTGTTCAGTTTGGTTTAACGTATTTCCTAATTTTTTTACTACTGTTTTTACTACTGTGGTTTGACTATTCATTATATGTAAAATATTAGCTCCGGTTTCTTCTGTTTGCTTTATAGCTTCCCTAGTTTTCTTTGCGCATTTATCATCGCATACACCGAATAATGTATACATGGCGTTGCCTATTAAATTTATTAATCCCCTTTTATTTCGCCTTAATTCTTGGGTGTTTGTATTAGTTTGGTTTATATCTATTCCTAATGAAATATACATTCGTTCTTTTTGATCACTTGTTTCATTAAATAAATCAGTTATTACTATCTGGTATTTACCACATAAATCTATGTGATTTTTGTCAGTACATATTTTTGTTATATTTTTTATTTTTGCTTTTTATAACTTATATTTCGCATTATATTCTTTTATGGAAAAGTAAGTAACTAGCTTGTATTCAGCTCCTATTATTCTAGTAGGCCCTAAATTTTCAAAGTATAATCCATTTTGTTGTTCGTAATTTGTATATGTATAATAATCCGATGAGTTTATTTCATTGGCACCGATAAGTCCACCCATCATCACCAATCTAAAAGTAAAAATTATATCTACATTAACCTGCTGTGAGTATGGTCTACGATATATAGGAGGCAGGTCTTGTTTAAGTTTTATTTTGTGTGTGCCCGCATTAGTAAAGGTTAACACATCTCCCTCTATATGAAACACGCTATTATATTTTTCATATAAATCATAGATAGAACGCCTCTCTTCATTGTTCATGTGGTCGGTTTTTAGTACCTGCTTTAATCTCGTCATACGGTCGGTAGTGTCATTGTTTGTTTCGACCTTAAGTATTTCGTGTTCACTATCGTATAATATTTTATTCAAATCTTTTTCATTTATATTTTTTATTTCCTCGGATATATTTAACATGCTAACTATTGCCCTTCCGTGATTAACGGTAGATACTGTATTACTACAAAACACATTTTCCGTAATTTTTTGTTTATGAATGTATATATTTTTACCTTCGACTACTGGGTCTAGAACATTTATTTGTACTACTGTTTCAGTTCGCGGGTGTAATAAAAGATTTGTAGAACTAGTTTCTACATGAGTAGGGGCGTGTAAAACTGTTTCAGCGTTTTGAATTATTATTTTATTATTCGAAATGTCTACTATCGCTTTGTTTTTTAATAGGAACTCGTGACCTAATATGCCATCTCTTGTTATAGGGAATTGTGTTCCCACTATGTTAAATTACGTATCTATAATATTATTATTTAATTGTATGGGTATTTTTATTTTCCCTATTGTTTGAATGGGTTCCTTATGTATACCACGTAATTTAATTTTCTGTGTTTCATTTACTTTTAATTCTCCGTGTTAACAATTTATTTTAAGTATATTAACTTGGCTACCCGTATCTATTAGTAGACTCACCAAGGCCGTGAGCGATGGTGATTGAACATTCACGGTTAACATTGTGGTGATATTAGGTCTAGTTTCGGGCAACTGATCCGGACTTAGTGGAGAGAGTTTAGACTTTGGCCACTGTTCTTCCGGAAGCTGTAAAAAATCGGGACCGTCCCAGTAGATTCTTGATGCCACGGTCGCTCGTGGCAAAAGGCCGCGAGAGGCAGGATCCGCCGGATTGTCAGTTGTCGATACATGATTCCATTCACAATCAGGTATAAGCCGGTGGATTTTCGCGACTCTATTGGTAATAAAGATCTTGAAATATTTCTGATCTGATGTCAGCCACGACAACACAATAGATGAATCTGACCACGCTCGGATGCGAGATAAGGATATTTCAGACGAAAGGACGTAGTGGGTGTGTTGAAGCGTCTGTGCCAGTAGTAACGCACCACATAACTCCAAACGCGGTATGGACAACGCTTCGGTGGTAGTCGTGATCCTAAGAGGGGCAACTTTAGTTTTGCAAGTGACCAATTTGACAGACACATCTCCATCTGCATTGACAATTCGTAGGTAAATGGTCGCTGCATAACCTTTAGTAGAAGCATCTGCAAAACCCAACAATTGAATGTCTTGCTGAGATGTCACCGGAAAATGACGAGGAAGAATTAAGTCGAAGACAGCTGGCAGTTCCAAACAAAATTGCCGCCACGTGGACTATAACTCTTCTGGCATTGGATCGTCCCACCCGAGTTTATTGCCCCACAGTGATTGCATAAAGTACTTTGCCCACAATAGCAACGGGCCCAAAGCGCCGATGGGGTCGAACAAACGTGCAATGATTGACAGAACTTGCCGTTTGGTAGACGAGGCTTGAGGGATGCTGGTATGGTAGGCGAAATTGTCATTAGTGGTGTCCCAATGTAACCCAAGAACTTTCACCGAATGTTCGTCCCGTGGGTCAAATGATACGGAATTCGCACGATGGTCAGGACTGATGGACCCTAAGACGAGAGCACTATTACTGGTCCATTTGCTCAGTTCACAAGCCCCGTTGTGGAGCAAACTGACGATTGCCTCTTTTCGACGTAGAAGTTGCTCCTCCGTGTCGGCACCGACAACTATGTCGTCAACATAAGTTGATCGATTGAGAACACCTTTTGCCAAGGGGAAGAGATGACCGTCCTGCTCATCAAGTTCGTGTAAGCAACGAATGGCCAGATATGGAGCGCAATTAAGGCCATATGTAATGGTACATAACTGGTATTCCTGAAGATTATCACTGGGTGAATCGCGCCAAAATATATGTTGAAAGACGCGATCTTCGGAACGGATTAAAATTTGCCGGTATATTTTAACAATGTCGGCGGTCAAAATGAATCTGTGCAACCGACTACGCAGTAAAATGTCACGTAAGTCCACCTGTAGTTTGGGACCAGTGCATAGAACGTCGTTTAAGGAACGACCAGACGAAGAAACAGACGAGGCATCGAAAACCACTCGTATTTTTGACATGTCACAGTCCGTCTTGAGTACGGCGTGATGAGGTATAAAATATTTGCCGGGTTCGGGAGCTAACACCATGTGACCTAACTTTAAATATGTGGACATAAACTGCCGATAAGCGGCATACAACTCCACGTCCTTCGCCAACCTTCTTTCCAGGTTGTGAAAACGCTTTAACGCGACGGACCGAGACTCACCAAGGCCGTGAGGTGACGAAGTTTGAAACTGGACAGAATTGGTAAACAAATCGTGAAACGGTAAGGCGACGCAAAATCGGCCTGACGAATCACGTGACGTAGAATTTTTAAAAAACGTTTCACACCATTGGTCTTCAGTGGTGGGTGATACAGAGGCGGCAGGTTCTTCGATTTCCCAAAAACGTGACAGTTGATCATCGATCGACTGATCGACAGCGGTTGTAAGAGCGACTAACGGCGTGGTATTTGATGTAGAAAGGGATCCAAAGATTATCCAACCAATTTTGGTGTCCAGAGCTGATGGAAAGCCTGCAAAATGTTCAACGCCAGCCTGTGAACGAATGAGGTTAGGAAAGACATCCGCCCCAAAGAGAACATCGATTCGCGCTGGGACGTCGAAGTGCTTATCAGCAAGTAAAAGATGTCGATACCGATGACGTACGTTAGAGGGCAAATGTGCGGACGGCATGGCCGCCGTAATGTGTGGTAAAACAACCAAATCTACTGTGGGAAACACGTATTTTGAATCAAAATGTGAAGTGAATTGACATTTAGTGACACCTTGAATTTGAGTTACAGGGCTTTGACCGAGTCCAACAATGTTGGACTGGAAACGATTTCGGGGTAACCCAAGTCGAGCTGAGCAATTGTTTGTTATGGCTGAAAGTTGAGAGCCACTGTCTAAAAGTGCACGAACTGCATGAGTTTGCCCCCATGCATCCTTAATGTGAACGACGGCGGTGCCTAGTACAACAGTAGAATTAGTACGAGCTGCACCCACAAATGAAGTAGAATTTCCGTTTTCCGATGTTGACGGGGTCTCCGTAGTCGATGATTTGTAAGAAGTAAGATGTAGTAACGAATGATGTTGTTTACTGCTACACGAACGACAGGCACCTTTTGACGAGCAGTCCTTAACCATATGTGTCGGATTGAGGCATGCGAAACATAATTTTTGCTTAACAACAATATCGCGGCGTTTTTCGACAGATAACTCGTTAAATTTCGGGCATTGATATATGTTGTGATCGGCGTGATCACAAAACACACAGTTTCTCGAAACGAATTTAATCGAGGACTTGTTTGGCGAAGACGTAGTCACAGCAAGGACGGATTTTGTTGAAGTGGTTGATTTCCCACGAATGGGCGCCTTTTCGCGCCATTTATCGACGTGATCAATTTTATTCTCGATTTTATTGCTCAGCTTAAGATTTTCTAAAATCTTACAACGCTGTTGAACAAAGTCCAATAGTTCACCAAATTCGGGAATTGTCGATTGAGATATACTAGACTCGAATAGGCGTAGTGTGGTTGGATCGAGCACACGCGATCCCATATGAAATAGTAAAAACCCGGCCAGATCATCGACGCCGATGGATTTGATAATGGATACATTTTCTTTGAAAGTGTTTACAAATTCCATTAGCGCGGGTAACGATTCTTGAACTATCGGCTTAAAAGCGAACAGTTTGTCCAGATGTGCCGATGCTAATAATCGCTTATTGTCGAAACGATCCGACTGCGCTCCCCACGCAATGGCATAATTTGCCGCAGTGAGGGGCACGGATTTAATAACTGACAACGCAGAACCAGACAAACGCGAAATTAAATAATGGAAACGTTCCGCGTCATCAATGCTCTCATTATTGTGTACGAGAGATATGTATATGTCACGGAAAGATCGCCATTCTAATATCGAACCATCAAATGAAGGTAATTCTATTTTTGGTAATTGTATGCGCGACTGCATGCGCGCGGTATTAACACCGGTTGGTTCTGAACGCACAGAAGGTTCGACGAGAACGTCGTCAGAAATCGCCATAATCAGATAATAGTTTTCCGACAGCTTGTTCCCAATAGGTACATGAACTGAGTTATACTCTTCCTCGCGTTGGAGTTGAATTAAAATATCGAGAATAGAGTCTTGCTCAAGCGAACATTGAGTGCGCAAACCACCAATGTCTTTTTTCCTAGCTCGAAACAACGGGAGGACCTCCTTATCTGTTCCAACTTTATGCGCCAAATCACATAACAATTGGACTTGTGACACTAACATATCGCGTTTAGCGATTGTACGCTTAAGCAGCCGCTCTGCGCGTTCAATTTCGCCGGCAGAAAGAGGCATTGTAGAAAGTATAACCGTACGTGAACGTTTTCGATCAACGACGGACGCCCGATCTCAATTCACAGGCGCACGCACTTACAACGGTACGATTAATTATAAGATATCGACGGTCAAACGATAACAACAATAAACAATAAACAATTCGAATCCGGATCGATTGGACCAAAATGTGTGCGAGTGGGCTGCACACGAAACCGTTTTGAGTGGACTGTATTAAGGAAGGAAAGAAAAATAGAAGTAAGGTAAAGA